ACTGAATTGTTTGAAGTTTCCTTCTGAATGAATAGCAGGAGATAAACCAAGTAGGAAACAAACTAATGTATTTGCTGATCACGTAGATATAAAATGCTTGTCTTTCTGATGAACCTTTTAGGAGTGAGATTGAAAACCATTCCCATAAGTAAAACAGAATGTTATATTATTAAAGCTTTAGTTGACATGACATTGGAATGCCACTAACTCATGGTGAATACATAGAGGGCGTGGATTTTTTGTTCAATTTGTAGTTGAACACAACACAATGGGCTATCTTTGCTCTGCCCTATCGCGGGTATCGAAACTCGAATTGTAGCGTTATAAGCTCTCTGACTTACCACTGAGTTACCAGGGGGATAAGGGAAGTTGTGAGCCAAACGACTTCTCACTTTAATTGTTGCTTTTAGAACCCTGACTTTTTTTAAGAACAGGCAACAGCAACAAATGGTGAGTTTTTTTAAGAACAGGCAACAGCAACAAATGGTGAGTTTTTAAGAACAGGCAACAGCAAAAAATGCTGAGTTTTTAGGAATAGAAAACATCAACAAATACCGAGTTTTTTAAAGAACAGGCAACAACAACAAATGGTGAGTTTTAAAGAACAGGCAACAACAACAAATGGTGAGTTTTAAGAACAGGCAACAGCAACAAATGGTGAGTTTTTTAAGAACAGGCAACAGCAACAAATGCTGAGTTTTTAGAAACAGAAAACATCAACAAATACCGAGTTTTTTTAAAGAAGAGGCAACAAGAACAAATACCGAGTTTTTTAAAGAAGAGACAACAGCAACAAATGGTGATTATTTTTAAGAACAGGCAACAGCAACAATAAATGCTGAGTATCTTTGAAAGAGAGGGCAACAAAAAGAACAGCAAATGCTGAGTTTTAATTTTAACATGGACTTCAAGTTGTAAAAGCTTATTATTCCGATTTTTTTAACTTTAACCTTGTCCTGTCTACTTCTAAGTCTCATAACTCCTAAAGTAGACTTTGTCGAATGAAAACAGTCCTGCATGTCAGAATTAAACCACGTAATTAAGCACATCGGATGATTAATGACGCGTCTACTCTTCCGGGACCTACATGTCATGTCAGATCTTCACGGGTTTCCATCACGTGCACATGATGGTGAGAAAAGTACAGTACGCAAATATAAATTCTGAGGCCGATTCCAACAGCAATATATATATATATATATTATTATTTTCTTCTTTTATTTCATTTTTTCGCCCACTTGGCCCAATTAGAACGATGACCATTCTACGAACTTTTAATCTTTAGCCTCATTCAGGAGGATTGCTAATCTTCTAACACCCTTGGTGATTAATAGTTTTTTTCTCTAAACTATTAACTTTACACCAAAATAACTACCATACACCATAGATCAACAGCAGTATCAAGTAGCATCCGTTCTTTTCACGGGTAAACAATAATTCTGATGTGTTTCCGGAGGAACAGTATGGTTAGGTTTTGTCGAATAAAAAACTATAATAGTAAACATTGAGTAAAGGCTTTATCGCGTTTTTTTTTTTTTGTTCTGGTTACACTACATTAAGTCCTCGTGTATGCAGCAAGAAATAATATATATATATATTAGTGATTCAGCTTGAACTTAACTGTTAAACGTTCTTCAGCAAGACACCTTATTGTTATATGGGATATTTTACATGTTTCACTTCGCAGGGGAAGACAGTTATTGTTTTAAAGTACAGAATGTCGTTCCCAATCTTTGGTGAGATTACAGAAACGTGAATGTTTATATTTTACAGTCCCTATCGATGGTGTTCTGCGTAATGGACCTGGATAAGGATTATTTCACTCTGCAGGAAGCTTTTGCACTATACACTGAAGGCAGTGTTTCTTTATCTCTTTACAAGTTTACCAAAGTCCATCAGCCGTTGATCGGTTTGAGACATCCCAGGCCATAAAATGTCTGAGTATGTTATAGCATTGATTCCAGTTTATACTTTTATCTTTCAAACGTGTGACTGACTGATTTAACCTTGATGGAGCCACACAGGTAGACCTTAACGTGTGACTGAATGATTTGTCTTGTTGAAGCTACACATGTAGACCTTAACGTGTGACTGAATTATTTACCTTGATTTATAAGATTTAAAGAGATTGGCTCAGTCACAATTGTTCCTTTAAAAGGTTTAAAGAGATTAGCTCAGTCACAATTGTTCCTTTATAAGATTTAAAGACTAGCTCAGTCACAATTGTCCCTTTATAAGATTTAAAGAGACTAGTTCAGTCACAATTGTTCCTTTAAAAGGCTTAAAGAGACTAGTTCAGTCACAATTGTTCCTTTAAAATACTTAAAGAGATTAGCTCAGTCACAATTGTTCCTTTATAAGATTTAAAGAGACCAGTTCAGTCACAATTGTACCTTTATAAGATTTAGAGAGACTAGTTCAGTCACAATTGTTCCTTTATAAGATTTAAAGACTAGCTCAGTCACAATCGTTCCTTTATAAGATTTAAAGAGACTAGCTCAGTCACAATTGTTCCTTTAAAAGGCTTAAAGAGATTAGCTCAGTCACAATTGTTCCTTTATAAGATTTAAAGAGACTAGCTCAGTCACAATTGTTCCTTTAAAAGGCTTAAAGAGATTAGCTCAGCCGCAATTGTACCTTTATAAGATTTAGAGAGACTAGTTCAGTCACAATTGTTCCTTTAAAAGGCTTAAGTAGATTAGCTCAGTCACAATCGTTCCTTTATAAGATTTAAAGAGACTAGCTCAGTCGCAATTGTTCCTTTGTAAGATTTAGAGAGACTAGTTCAGTCACAATTGTTCCTTTAAAAGACTTAAAGAGACTAGCTCAGTCACAATCGTTCCTTTATAAGATTTAAAGAGACTAGCTCACTCACAATCGTTCCTTTATAAGATTTAAAGAGACTAGCTCAGTCACAATTGTTCCTTTAAAAGCTTAAAGAGATTAGCTCAGTCACAATTGTTCCTTTATAAGATTTAAAGAGATTAGCTCATTCACAATTATTCCTTTAAAAGGCTTAAAGAGATTAGCTCAGTCACAATTGTTCCTTTATAAGATTTAAAGACTAGCTCAGTCACAATCGTTCCTTTATAAGATTTAAAGAGACTAGCTCAGTCACAATTGTTCCTTTAAAAGGCTTAAAGAGATTAGCTCAGTCACAATTGTTCCTTTATAAGATTTAAAGAGACTAGCTCAGTCACAATTGTTCCTTTAAAAGGCTTAAAGAGATTAGCTCAGCCGCAATTGTACCTTTATAAGATTTAGAGAGACTAGTTCAGTCACAATTGTTCCTTTAAAAGGCTTAAATAGATTAGCTCAGTCGCAATTGTTCCTTTATAAGATTTAGAGAGACTAGTTCAGTCACAATTGTTCCTTTAAAAGACTTAAAGAGACTAGCTCAGTCACAATCGTTCCTTTATAAGATTTAAAGAGACTAGCTCAGTCACAATTGTTCCTTTATAAGATTTAAAAAGACTAGCTCAGTCACAATTGTTCCTTTAAAAGGCTTAAAGAAATTAGCTCAGTCACAATCGTTCCTTTATAAGATTTAAAGAGATTAGCTCATTCATAATTGTTCCTTTTTACGATTTACAGAGATTGGCTTTGTCACAATTGTTCCTATATAAGAGATTGACTCAGTCCAATTCGTTGTTATAAAATTTTTAAATTCACATTTCTCGTTATTTGTAAGTTGAATACTTATATACCTTTATATATCTGCAGGCATCCTTATATAGTAAGGCATCTCCAACAATGAAACAAACGAAACGTTCCGATAAATTTAACTTCGCTGCTAAAGTGATCATGCTTAAAATGTGACTAGCTACAAATGTTGCTACAACCAGTGTTTAGTTCTCTTGTTGTATAACAAAAGTTTTTGGAAGATAGTATGGAGTGTAAGTTGTTCGACAAATGTTTACTTAAAACATTTTTTGCACAAATACCTTAAATTAATCTAGAGTACACAAGAGCGTCATGATGTTAAGGATGAGTTATAACATGATAAACATTAAAACTAATACCATGGTTTAAATATCAACAGCTATTAATTACGTTTGTACATACTCGTAATGGATGACGAAAATAAAATAATAATAAGTCATTTGGATGATTATGTATTACCGCAAAAATTTTACAGGGATCATACTGAGAATTTACCATAAATCAGGTTTCGTCATCTTTTCTATAAGAACGTAATATGTCTTTTTTTTTAAAGAATGACATCTTTAGTAGTTATTTTCGTTAACATTTTATTTGTTTGTTGCTTAGATATGAAAAAATAACCCAGAAGATTTTGATAAAAAAAACCCAACAAAATACATTTCATAAACTGATTTTCAGTGCAACATAAACAATATGTACTATGAGAAATTGCAGCTATTGTGGGTTTGATTTTTGAAGGGTATACATTTCAGTATTTGAGTAACACATTCGTTAAATTTCCACTTCCTCTACTTCCTGAAATAAAATCCTTTACTTCCTTCCTGAAATAAAATCCTTTACTTCCTTCCTGAAATAAAATTTAATACTAGTGTACTGAGTAATCTAAAATGTTAACACGGACTTACTTTGGCAGTAACAGCATTCCAAGGAACACTGCACCGTTGCTAGTTTGACGTTCTGATTCTCGGACGTGGCCATAACCTTTATCAGGCTCTCCGTTTGCTTTCCTTCCAACAGAGCTCGTTTGCTCGGCTGTCAACCACGCGCCCTACTGTTGCGAAGGAAAAGCACCACCTTAACAGCACATGCCACCGAGTGTTAAACTTGCTTTTTTCTGGTGAATCCCGCTCGGAAATAAAAGCTTCACATACACAAGCTAACTGCAGTGATTATGTAGCTACACTATTTTATTATATGTCTCAATCCTTCTTCTTCTTCTTTCTATTTGGTGGTGATGGTGGTGGTGGGGGGATACTTGTAATGCTACACAATATGCAGTATTTACATAAATGTATATAATTTCAAAGTTTATTTGTATGAACACAAAAAAGCCCTACCTCTTGGGACGACGTCTAAAACACCAAGATAAAAAGGGCCTTGTCTCACTACAATTTCATGTGAAATGATAGCAAATGCATACACATCGCCCTTCTGTGTACCTTCACTCGACTTGAGAGGCATGCGCAGAAGTTCGGGAGCGGTCCACAGTTTTCCTAGGAAGAGAGGAAGCGAGAAACACTTAATTTCGAAAGAAAATGCACATTTCTGAATGAATAGATTATCAAGAAGAAAAACAATTTATCAAATGTATCGATGCCTATTCATCGCTCTACTTTCTTTCTTTTTGTCACAAATACAAACTGTAATTTGGAGTCGAGGGAAAATTCGTTTAGAAATAGCTCGGTTTTTACTATAGGGTGTTTTAAAAGACATTAAACTTATAGAATAATCGAACTAATTATCAACAGACACTCTAGGAAATCCAGCTATTTGTACAAATGCTACTGCAACAGAAAACACGGCGAAAGATAAAAATTAACCAATTAAGTCACTGAAAGAGAGCACGAGGTTGATACTTATGTGGTCGTTCAACACTTCAAAGTAATAAATATGAGGCAGAAGATTTAGCTTAAAAAAGAAAAGATGATGAATCAGAGTAAAAGTTCGTGACACGATGAGCTCGAGAAACATATAGAAATCATTGATTAGCAAATACACATTGCAAATAAATTAAGATCTAGAAAAGCAAGAGGGGACCATTTAAAAATTAAACAAAAAACATAAGCGAGAGAAAACAAAAACAAAGCTTAGAATTTAACAAGTAAAGGATGAAAAAAAGAAAAGCAAACACAGTAGACAGAAGAAGAGGAGGGACGTTCCCAGTAGTTGTGTTATACTGCCTAGCCGTTTTTTCAGCAGTGAAGAGCGTTTTACAGGGGGAAAACGCATTCCTGAAGATGTTCCCAGATCTACACTGTGTGCGAGTAAAAGAAAAGTTGATAAAATTCAAAATGAAATTCGATCCAGTAATCTGTTTTATTCGCTTTTTAGATCTATGTTATTGATTATAATTTTGTTTGTAATTAAGCACAAAGCTACACAATGCCCACCACGGATATCGAAACCCGGATTCTAGCGTTGTAAGTCCGCAAACATAACGCTGTGCCACTGGAGGGCTTTATTATAATTCATGGAAAGTCAGTATTCTGAATTAGAGGGAGTGTTGTGCTAAATATGAAGGAGGGAAGGAGCATAGGGTACCTCATCTAGCCTAACTTTGCCCAAACTCCCAATCTAAGGTTCGTAACTACCTACCAAGGCTGGTATGTTTGTGACTAGAACTTCATATTTCTACAAATGTTTTATTTTTTTTCCCGAAACGAGACTTCTACTAAAGTCTAAAAGACTATCTTTTTATTTACTTTAATATATGAATGTCTTACTGCAGCTAGTTTATTAGATCCAATATAAAAAGACCAACTCCCCATGAGCTTCATAAATTTCGAGCTATCACCAAATAAATCACAATTTATTCTTTGATTGAGAACAAACGTTTTTCTCTCGGTAGTTTGAGGATAGACTCAGACTCAAGGCTCGCTCTACCATATATTTCTGTTTTCTAATAAATAAACATTGTTCAAATTATCTTCTATTTCATTTATCAACTTTTGAAAATGTTACTGAAAAAAAAAAACGGCTATTTTTTGAAATTATTTAATTGGAATTTTTTGTATTTGTTATTTCGTTTCTGTTGATTGAGAAAACCAGTTAGGAATTTGCTGAAAATTATCGATTTTTCCAGTTAAGAATGTGCTGAAAGTTATAGATTTTTCCAGTTAAGAATGTGCTGAAAGTTATAGATTTTTTCCAATTATGAATGTGCTGAAAGTTATAGATTTTTCCAATTAAGAATGTGCTGAAAGTTATAGCTTTTTCCAATTAAGAATGTGCTGAAAGTTATAGATTTTTCCATTAAGAATGTGCTGAAAGTTATAGATTTTTCCAGTTAAGAATGTGCTGAAAGTTATAAATTTTTCCAGTTAAGAATGTGCTGAAAGTTATCGATTTTTCCAATTAAGAATGTGCTGAAAGTTATAGATTTTTCCAGTTAAGAATGTGCTGAAAGTTATCGATTTTTCCAATTAAGAATGTGCTGCAAGTTATAGATTTTTTCAGTTAAGAATGTTCTGAAAGTTATCGATTTTTCACAAAGTAACTTGTTTTTGTACTTTGAAGTTGAGCACAAAGCTACACAACGGGCTATCTGTGCTCTGCCCACCACGGGTATCGAAACCCGGTTTCTAGCGTTATAAGTCCGCAGACATGCCGCTGTGCCACTTGGGGGCACTTCGATTTTTTCTAAGAAGTTTCTAAACAATACGTAAGGAGTAATACAGGGTAGTGATGGTGTGAAATGTTTCACACAATATCCAAAGGCGTCGATACGAAAACGTGCTTGTGCGTGTTTCAAATTAGAAATGGACCGCGAAGTTAAGTACGCACGTGTCATTGACAGGTGCAATGAAACTAGGAAGGCTCGGGGGCCTTTATCTCGTAATAAATACTTTTACAATTACAGTGATAATTTGTGACTATTTGGAGGCAGTTTGAGCTAAGATATGACGGAAATCAGAGATAAAACACAATCACAATTAATGTGAAAAAAAAAAAACGTAGTTCAATGACGAAATTGCACGGCTTTCTATCTTTTATATTAAACCTTTTTTTTTGCCTTATCTCTAATTCATTTTAATATATATATGTGTTTATAGCGAGTCATTATTTTGGATAAAAATAGATCCTTCTGGATATGCGGGTCTGGTCCCCCTGGTCCGATACCAATGCAGTAAGACGAGAATCAGGAGAATGTTAGAAACAAAGAGGTTTTTCTGCATATGAAAGTAACTCAAAAAGTCGTGTTGTATTATCTTCCAGTCTCCAGAAACACACTATCTTAATATTGAAGTAACAGTTGAAAATACGTTATTGATATTCTTCTAGTGTAGCACAAACAGACAAACGAAAACTGCATGTTGTTAAAAAAAAATGGAATTGGCTCTTTCATTTCAGATCCATTTCTTAATTTATGCATTTTGTGTTTATGTGTGGGGACCCTGATCGTTGATATCTGGTATATGTGTGTGTGGAACAAATGATCAAATTTTAATTTCCCGCTGTTCTTTTTTTGACATTCTACTACATAAGTTATAATTGAATCACGACGAATATTTATACCAAAAAAACGAAAAAAAACAAACAAAACTATCTGTGCTTAACAACAAACAAACTCGCCGTTGGATCATCATATACATTCACCCGTCAACTTACCGCTCATTCACTGGAAAAAACCTTCTGTTTCACTAACTAACATATTATGAAGGAATTACACAAAACGTTACAATTAGGCCTATATGTCATTAATTGTAAGGCCCGGCATGGCCAGGTGGTTAGGGAGCTCGAATCCCCGTTCCACCAAACATGCTGGCCCTTTGATCCGTTGAGGCGTTATAATGTGATGGTCAATCCCACTATTCGTTGGTAAAAGAGTTGCCCAAGAGTTGGCGGTGGGTGTTAATAACTAGCTGCCTTCTCTCTAGTCTTTCACCTCTAAATTAGAGACGTCTAGCGCAGATAGCCCTCGTGTAGCTTTGCGCGAAATTCAAAACAAACAAATTTTGTCCCTATTTCATACATCTACACATAATATGTTCATAAATTCTTAGTATTCAGACAAAAAATTGTGTACTGTTGAAGTATGATAAGTAGAAGATTCCTGATACCCGGATGTTAAAAACGTTAACGTTTTGCATTAAATAAAAAAATAAGAACAACAACACGTTAAACTGATATTTAGATTAATATAATATTTGTAGGATTTGATGTAAAGGAGCCGTGGTGAGGCTGGAGTAGCGAATCAAAGAATAGGTTAGGTTTTTACTGATTCTTTAGCTTCATCACTAAAATTCTACGTTTTGGTGACGATTTTATTTGTTTGTTTGTAATTAAGCACAAAGCTATACAATGTACTATCTGTGCTCTGCCCACCACGGGTATCGAAACCCGGTTTCTAGCGTTGTAAGTCCGCACACATACCGCTGTGCCACTGGGGGGCTTTGGTGACGAAAGGGGAAAAATCACAAATAAATGTTTTTTTTTTTTATAATCAGAAACTCACTTCTCACAAAAATCATTATTAACCAACCGCATTATGTTGTTACGTAAGTCTTTCTTCATAGGAAGGGTGTGGACTACAGAATAACGTGCCAGACTGTGAATATGGGGATCCATGGTTCGAGTCCCGTTGCAAGAAAAACGCACTCTGCACTTTGGGGCCGTGAATGCGTTACAAGAATAACAATCATCCCTGATATACGATTACAGTAGACCAAGTATTTCCAGTGGGCATGTCGACTAGTTGTCTTCCCTTTAATGCATCAGCTTAAAATTAGGGACGGTTAGCACAGAAAACCTGTTGTATAGCTTGGTGTGAAGGAATTTCCGAAACAAACAAACAAACTCTTATGGTGTGTTTTTGGGATGAAGCGCTCGTGTACGAAACTCAGACAGAACCGTCGGCAGAGTGGAAACCTACTCTGACGAGTTTTTAATTTCTAACCAGAGACATGGCCTTCAAAAGAAAATTAAATTTCAAAATAGATATGATTTTTATATTACTCGTATAAAACATTATCGCGGTGTTTCAGTATGATATAATAGCAATAAGACAAATAAAAACAAACAAACAGGTACTCTAATAATCAATGTTTTATGTTTCCAGCTGGTATACACAACAAAGAGCATTTAGCATCCTGTTCATTTTTTTCTTGTACCGTAGAGCGCCTGAAAGTTTATTAGTTACGTAGAGGTAAGCCATGTTGCATCCAAGCATATTTAAGTTTTGCAGTATTTTCTACTTTCTAACCCTATACATACAAACAAACGCATACTCCGCATACACTTACTATTGTATCTGTTTTATAGATATGTTTGTAGGAAAACCACAACATGAAAAAGAGATAAATTCATACATGTCAGACTTGTACTTGTTTGTCGTATTTCATCCCCAATTAACCATATATAAACTATTCAACGCTGTCCTGTTTCAAATGACCCATTTATGTTACCTATAATAATAAAAGAGTGTGTGTGAGTGACTGCCACAGCTCCAAGAGGAAAGAACCTAGAAACCTAAAATTGTGGACACATACTAAGTGGACCTTGAAGGTGTGCACCTGTATATTATTACCTATCCACGTGCGCATCTTTTTATGAATCTAGCTAGCGAAAAACCACATAGAAAAGAACTGTGACCGCCATAGCTCCAAGAAGAAAAAACCTAGAAACCTGAAATTTTGCACCCATATTAAGTGGACCTTGAGGGTGTGTACCTAGGTATTATTTATCTTATCCACGTACGAGCGCGCATCTTTTTAATGAGGCAAGCTAGCGAAAAACCACAAAGAAAAGAAGTGGTTCCTTATATAACAACTTATAATATATAGAAAAGCCAGTGCGTTTTGGTAACAATGCGTTCCAACAATGGCTTTTATGTCATGTTGCTTAGCAACAAACGTATATAGGTTATATTATTATGCTAAAATGGGTTCAGAATACACACACACTATCAACCTAATAACCCGAGAGAAGCCGGGTACTTTCGCTAGTCATATATATAAACTATTCAACGTTGTCCTATTTAAAAAGGAAATTATCAAAAAAGATCTCTACACTATCAATTATTTTAAAGCGTATTATGTTCCACATTCCCCGAGTGGCTTAGAGATAAATCTAAAGGTTTACAATGCTAAAAAACTGGGTTTCGATACCTGTGATGGGCACAGCACAGACAGCCTGTTGTATAGCTTTGTGCTTAATAACAAACAAAACAAAAAGTCATGTTCCGTAAAATCACGTTGAGGGGAAATAGCTGGTTTATTATCATTTCATCTTAAGATGGTCGTTCAAAGAATCCCCATAACGCTAACAATTAATACTGAGGCTAATGAAACAGTTCGTTGCTCAAACCCTGAATCTGATTACACAACGAACCTGTTGCTTCCTAATCTCTGCCTTGTTTCATTTGCTTTATATTGTAATCCTTTCCCCATTGTCTTTGAACTATCTGAACGATATTTTGAAAAAAAAATAAAAAATCGTCTTACCTTTCTATCAACCAAACTTGTAAACACAACTCATCTCAGAAAATGCTATAACACAATAATGTTATTGGTATGGAATTTTTTCCATATTTATTATATATATTATATACCATATTTAAATCAACCAGAAAAGATAAAATTTGTTTTCAAGTCAAGATTTATGGGCTTTCCTCCATATTGTCATGACTTTGAAAAACCAACCTGAACCAATATGATAAAACAGACTTAAAGAACGGTAGACATGGACGTTTTGTTTAAATCTTTAAACAACGAACATCAACGTGTTTTCCTGTTTCAGCTAGCAGAATGAAAATCGATTATCAGGTTAAACCGTTGTCTGCAAACCGTCGTTTCTAAAGTATCGTTATAAAGAAAATATTGGAATTAAAATCGGGGGAAAGAGTAAAAATGGAGAAACTTTCATTAGAGCATGTTGGGCGACCATTTTTGTTGCAGTAACATCACGATACACTTCTGATATATTTATGTAACATACTGTGTCTTTTTGATGACGATTTCAAGAAAGAGAAGTAAAATCAGAACACAAGTATGTGTGTTGATACACACCATTTGCGAAACAATAATTATCATTGCTTTAACTACACAATGGACTATCCGAGCTCTGTCCACCATGTAGAACCTAACCGAACTTTAGCATTGTAGGTCCCTAAACTTACCACTGACCCACAGCTGGACACACAATATAGGCCTTATCTCATAGTATCTTCAAAATAATAACGTAGAGAATCACTTGTGTGTTTGTGTCGGGCTATCTGTTGTGTCCACCGAGGGGTATCGAACCTCTGATCTTAGCGTTGTAAATCCGTAGAGTTACCGCTGCCCCGAGGAGGGGGGACTAGAGATTCACGTAAGCCTTAAAACCACTATATGGTAAATACAACCAACAAAAAATGATGATTTTTTTTCATTATTTTAACAGAAACACCGAAACGACATCAAATGTCTTCAGCTATAAAGCAACGTACTTTTAATCCGAGATTTTGTAAACATTGATTGTTAAGTTATATAAAAAGTTTAGTGATTTGACTTCTGGATTTAATCTAAGTATTATTTTGATATTGTCGACGTTAAATGATTTTTTTTTATTTCCACGCCAAATCTTTGCTAAGATTAATGTTCACTATTTTTGGACTACTTTTCTAATAAAAGGTGGGCGAGTGACTACGCACTTTTGAATAATGTTCTGAGACGAAAACGTACTTTAAAAGCATACACGTTTAGTATTTACTTACTTCTCCAGTAGTCGTAGGAATCAACATTCTCATCATAAGCCCGTAGGCTGTGGAGACCGAAGTCCGTGATTTTCAATACAAACCTGCTGTCAACCACACAATTGGAAGACTTCAGGTTCCCATGGCAACGAACCTCGCTCCCATGGAGATAAGCCATACCCTGTGAAGAGAGAAAACATTTAAGGTGTCTCTTAAATCACAAAATTGATTAAAGCATCTTTAATTGTCCCACAAATCACATTGAAAGTCACCTCACGTGCTAAAATATTTTTCAGAATCAGGCGACAAATCTACATCCTAGATACTAGTGGGGATTGTCCAAAAATTAAACGTTGTTCGATAAAATATAGGGATAATTAGTTGAGGAGAATTTCCTTTAGTCATACATATTAAGCGAAGTTGTAACCAGTTTGTCTCTAGAAAATTGCTAAACAGAAAGATTGTTGGATTAATGATTTCTTGGTGCTCAATTGTAAAGTTTTTAATAGAAGATTGTTAAACAGAAATATTATTATTATTGATGATTTCTTGGTGCTCAATTGTAGAGTTTTTTGATAGAAGATTGTTAAACAGAAAGATTGTTGGATTGATGATTTCTTGGTGCTCAATTGTAAAGTTTTTAATAGAAGATTGTTAAACAGAAATATTATTATTATTGATGATTTCTTGGTGCTCAATTGTAAAGTTTTTAATAGAAGATTGTTAAACAGAAATATTGTTGGATTGATGATTTCTTGGTGCTCAATTGAAAAGTTTTTAATAGAAGATTGTTAAACAGAAATATTGTTGGATTAATTATTTCTTGACGCTGAATTGTAAAGTTTTTAATAGAAGATTGTTAAACAGAAATATTGTCGGATTAATGATTTCTTGGTGCTCAATTGAAAAGTTTTTAATAGAAGATTGTTAAACAGAAATATTGTCGGATTGATGATTTCTTGGTGCTCAATTGTAAAGAGTTTTTTGATAGAAGATTGTTAAATAGAAAAATTGCTGGATTAATGATTACTACCTATTAGAATTGACATATTGTAACCAAGAGTGTGTTAGTTTTTAAATGGTACCAATTAACGAGAAAATGTTGCATATGTATACATATTCACCAAACTACGTGACCCTAGAGTTTAATTTATCTAAATCTTATATTCAAAGATATGTTTGTTTGTAGTTAAGCAAAAAGCCACATAATGGGCTATTTGCGCTCTGCCCACGACGGGTATTGTTGTAACTCCGCAGACACACCATTGTGCCATTGAGGGGCTCGAAGATATGAATAGAATATTTATATTTTATTTTAGGTTTCATTACGCTTTCTTCAACTGTTTAATTTTTAACAAATTTTCTTTGAAAGTTAGTCACCAACAATTTTACTGGGATTGGGGTGGGGAGGAGTGTGCGAAAAATATTACAACTCTAACTTAAAGTTATCCACCGATAACCTAATGGGTACTTAATGGTAACTTTCTTTAGTAGTCGACAGGGGTTTTTATTTCTAAAATAATGAATTCAAATCAATAAAATAATCAAATATGACCTGTTTATATTTGTTAATACTCATTGATTATTATTATGAAAGTCAATTTGAGTTGTTAGCTTATATGGATTTAGGACTAAACTAAATTTCCTGAAAACATCGTGAAATGTTATTGGGATTACGACCGAAAAAATCGCTAACAGTTAGGGTATTTAATTGATAAAAGGTACATTCTAATTACTATAGGTTTTAGTTTTTGCGTTTCTGTTGAATTATGACATCATGTACTTCTTATATGTTTGTTATACTGAATTGACTTAATTAGCTTAGAAGATATCTTTTTATCTATAAAATTAACTTCTGATCATAATTTATTAATAAAATTAGCATAAAATCATGAAAATGTAATACCTTTGTTCATTTAGTTAAAGGTTTCTTTGTTTGTTTTGAATTTCACGCAAAGCTACACGAGGGCTATCTGCGCTAGCCGTCCCTAATTTAGCAGTGCAAGTTTGTTTGTTTGTAATTAATCACAAAGCTACACAATGGGCTATCTGTGCTCTGCCCACCACGGGTATCGAAACCCGGATTCTAGCGTTGTAAGTCCGCAGACATACCGCTGTGCCACTGGGGTGCAGCAGTGTAAGACTAGAGGGAAGGCAGCTAGTCATCACCACCCACCGCCAACTCTTGGGCTACTCTTTTACCAACGAATAGTGGGATTGACCATCCCATTATAACGCCCCCATGGCTGAAAGGGCGAGCATGTTTAGTGGGACGGGGATTGCGAGTCAGGCTCTCTTAACCTCACTTAACTTATAAAAATTTACTGATCTGAAGCTCTAAAGAAAAAGTTAGTAAAGTACCTTTCAGAAATTTTTAATTATAAATAATTAGAAATTAATTTCAGAAATTTTAATTATAAATTAGACCACCGTGACCCGTTGGGTCAACCACTATTCATAGGTTATGAAGAATTCAAGCTAATTTCAATATTTCACCGAAATGAAGGTTTATTTTGAGATAATTTAATTAAATATTTCAATCCGTTCGTGTTATACATAATTCAAGAAAAGGTATTTGGTTGTTGATCGGGAGTAAAAGGAAATACCATTTTATTTTTCAAAAAAGTGAAGTAAGAAGTGTCGTAAAGAGCGCGAACGGTAGTGTGAAT